GGGCTCCTCCCGCCGCCGCTGAGCCCCCGCCTGGCTCGCTCGGAGCCGTGCCCCGGGCTGAGGGGACCCTCTCTCGGCACCCGGGAAGGGTGCTAGAGGTGGGGTGGTGCCTTCCCCATGGCGTTCAGTCACGGCCCTCAGCTTGCCCTGCGGCCTCCTGCCACGGCAGGGACAGGGGGGTTTTGGCACAGTTGCCCCAGTCACGGTGCTGCTCGTAGCTTGGGTGTCAAGAGCTTGAGACCTTGATATGGCCACAGGGTGGGGTGGATCAGGAGAAGCGTGGTTTTATGCCGTTTCCCCCCATTTTGAGAGAACCGTGCCATGTTGCCGTGGTGGGCTGTGGCCTCGGTGGAGGTAGCCGGTAACTTCATCGTCGTGATTTCAATGTATGTCATGTTCCAGCCTTGAGTCACTTAATCATCTTGCATTGCTGGAGAGGTGGGGAAAAGGTAGGAGACACAATGGTTTTTAAGAGCACGAGGATCCCGATTTTAGACAGTGTTGCCCCAGTGTTTGATAAGTTACTGTGAGGTGTTGGTGCAACACTTGCGGTTGTAGCTTGCCATCATCTCCCATTCCAAAGCGGAATTTCATACGTTACAGGGATTTCATTCACTGGAGAAATTCAGAGAAACTTGCTCATGTTTGCAAGCAAACAGCTCAGAACGAAATAATGCTCAGTGGATGCCCTATATCTTTGGATGTTTTATTTAAGACTCCCAGAAAAAAATTGAGTTACCATGAAATTACATTTTGTGTTGTTACTTTATGACGATACTGCATACATAGCAAGGCGTTAATGTGTCAAAGGGGTGTTTGAGATAACCATTTTAAATTACAGAATTAAGACTGAGTTACTGCATCTGTTACACTGGTGTAAATTCAGAGTAATTCAACTGAGTGAATTCAGAGCTGGAATACTGTATTTTGCAATTGTGATTGATACATGCTTTCCAATTGGCACAGCACAGACCATGGACTTTAAATTGCTTTGTGTTTGAACTCAAACTTGATTTTAAAAGTCCAGTAACAGAATTTACCCATTATCCTTAATAATTTTGTAAGTATTGAAAATACATGAATGTATCACAGAGAGTGTATGAGTTGTTCTTTCCTAACTCTGGCCATTTACAAATTGTTACAGAGCTTTGGCTATTTCTTTTGAATTACAAAATGTCATTCTTTTAGGTTGTGGTAATATTAGTATAGTTTTATAGTTGATGGATAGGGAGTGATGGCTTTCAGGGAAGTTTTAAGTCATATCCTAATGTAACTGAACATATTCCCATACAAAGTAATTTTGGTTCAGACAGTGAGTGAAGGAGGAAGAAAATTGACACATACTGTAACTGTTACCTTCCTTTACCTGCATGGGTATGCTGGGAGACAAGGAGGCAGCTTTTGCTTCCAATGTGGACTTCCTGAATGGCTCAAAAAACCCCCCTAAATTCTTATTCAGAAGTCCTTAGTAAAATATGTGAAGACTTATTACTATCTCTTATTATGAAGCGACATTTTGCTGACACAAGTCTATCTGGAGTTCATCATGTTCATCGTGATTTAACATATGGTTTTTTTCCCCCAGGTCAAAACTGAACGATGAGTGAAAAAATGTCTTTTACAACTGGCCATAGAGCGCCTGTTGCAGAGGTAAGAGTAACAGTTTCTGACAAATCACGGAAATCAAAAAAACAAAATTGAGGCAGGCATGCTTGGTGGAAATTTACTGGCTAGCTGGAGCTAGGAGTTTTTTCTCTCAGCATGTCCCCTAGAAAGCATTTGGTGAGCATGCCTTGTAGAGAGTCCCGGGACAGTAGTCATAGTAGGGAGCTGTAAAGGGTATTGCTATGATTAATGGGGTTTTTTCCCCTCTGTGTATGTGCAGACAGCACAAGACTGAGCTGTGCCTGTGGCAATAAGCATGGCGTGACTGAAGAATGTTTTCCTTTAGGTATGGGAAGTAGTTTTAGTTTCCATTTTAAGCAGCTACGGGATTTGGCATGCTACTTTCTGAGATCTGCATGCTTTGTTATTTTAGAGAGAGCTATAAGGTTTGGTTTTTGTTGAAAGCACGTAGGTGGTGATGAACTAGTTTAGGTTTTTCTCCACCTTTTATTGAAATCAAGGTCTTTGCCTACAACTGAGTAGCATCAAGGCCCTATGCAAAGTAGTTCAATTTTTTTTACACTGCTTTTCAGCAGAAACCCAGAGGTATTGTTCCCAATGAGTGAAACAACTAGCAAATCACTTAAAACTGAAGTAGATGTTTTAGATGTGAATTTGAATATCTCTCTTCTATAGGTAATATCACAGGTATTGCCTTGTTTCGGCTATTTTGCATAGAAGTTTCAGGAACATACGCTACCAACGTTATGAATTACAGCTGCAGTTCAGTTATTTATATACGGCTGTTGTCAGATTTAAGATGGAAGACTCATTAACCACATTGTTCATACCTCAGTTGAAAATCCCAATTTTCTATTTCCCTGTGTAGGTGTTTGCACTTCACTGGAAAGGCCGGGTGTGTGAAATACTGTGCCGTTATTGCAAGGGAATGGAAAAGTTATGCTGTTAGCTCCAGGAGATGGCACTGTGTCCCCTCTGGGCTAAAAATTACATCCATAGCTTTGAAATGTACATTCAGAACCAATGAAAACCTGAGGGGTTTTGCTCTTTCTTGTTATGAAACACATTTCGTTGTAGACCTAAATTCCTCTTTAACTGTCCCGAATATAGTATTTCATCACTTTTATTTTTGCAAATAATTCGTATTTAAAATGCAGATGTGTATTTGACCGTTATCTGTGCAGTGCCTTGTATTTTCATATTGCTGTCACGGTGCTCCTCTGCGATGCGGGCTTTATAGCCATTTGGAAGCCAGGAGGAACAGCAGTGTGAACATTTCATGGTTTGCCCCAGGTTGTGTTGCAGTTCGGGGTTCTCCGGTAGTTTCAGAATTGGGTTCCTGTGCATATCAAGTTGTAATTAATGATGCATAAGTTTCTCTGAAAAACACAACCCCCGAGCGTATTAAAAACCGATTTAACTAATTGCCTAACTAAGTAGCCGGGGGGGGGAAAGGTGGCCTCCTAAAACGGTTCTGGCTTTATGGTTCAGCTGGGAAGGCGGCGGGTTTTCGCTGGACTTTCTGTGTGGCATTTGAAAGTAAATAGCTGATAGGGAAAAAGAGTTTTATTTGTCTTGCAAAATCTGCTGGCTGATAAGGACGGGCTGAGCGAAAGGGAAATGGGTGAGGCCTCCACATCCTGTGTTCTGTCGGCACCGGCGCACGCTGTCGCGTCTTTTGTAACGAGGGACGGCGGAGGGGAGCGGAGCCGCTGGCCGGCGGGCGCACGGGGCTCTCTCCTCTCACACCGGGTTGTAAATGTTTTGCAAGGTGCGTTGTTGTCACACGTAGGGCAAGAAACTTCCCCCAAACCCGACGAGTCTTCGCGGCAGAATTAATTTAAACCGCGATTCCTCCCCGGGGAAGCACCGCCGGGCCAAAGCCCCGCGGGCCGGCCACGCCGTTGCCTTTACACCCGCCCGAGCGGCGG